CCTGGCACGGAGCGAGCGCGCCGGGTCTCAGCAGCGGGGTTTGTAGTCGCTGTCTGCAATGAGGGGGCTGCAGAGCCGCCTCTCAAAAGCCTCTTTTCAGAGGGGCGATGGGGTGTCAGCGGCGCCCGGCTCCCTGCAGGACGAGGGTCCCCCACGGGAGCCAAATCCCGGGAGAGACGCGAGACGCCGGGCTCCCTCCTGGCCCTCGTCTCCTCGCGCTGCTCGGTGAAGTGCTCCCGAGGCCCCGGCCCTGCAAAGCAGTTAAACCCCTGTAATTACCCTTGGCTCCCAGGAGATTTATGTGCTAAATTCACCTCAAAGGAACAAAACCGGCAGCTTGATGTCACGCTTGCCTTTAAAACATGCAGAAACTCTGGAGGCGAGTTATTTTTTTCCATGAAGAGGTGTCCGGGGTTAATCACGTAACACGCCTGGGCTCTTTTTTTAAAGACGTTATATAAATCCTTTGGAAACAGAAGAGGGAGCAAACGTGAGCAACTCACAGCAACTTTTTTTGAATAGAAAGGTCTGCTTTGTTAGAGATGCTGTCAAGGCAATTAAGCCTAAAAATTGACCTACCTTACACGTTTAAGAGCCTTATTATGGGCTTTTGCTTCAGGAATCCCTTGGTATCTTGTCGTTAGAATAACGTTCGCTACAGCAGGAAACGAAAACAAGCGTATTGCAAAAGGAGAGGGAGAAAGCAGGAGCTGGGCAGTTTAATGCTGCTGCTCTCAGCTGGGTACTGGAGCCCGGAGAAGCTCTTTTACTGAATCCTTTTTTCCCAAGGGAAAATAGCGCATTTTGTTATCAGAATATTTGGCAAATTTGTCTGTGTCTCAGCATAATCTCTGTCAATTTATTTTTTTACTCGAAACATTTCATTTCAACATTACTGGAACGAACTAATGTGGTTTTGTTTCCTATCTGCATATCTTTGTTTGAAAGCGTCCTGCTAGTCTATTGAAAAGAATGCTTATACGTGAGATGATGCATTTCCATCTCCTTCCCCAAACAAAACGGATTGCCTAACCTGAAACGAAGCATTTTTCTACTTCCTGATGTATGAAAACATTAGAAATTGAAAAGTGACCTGAAACTGACTTTTTTTTTCTTTTTCTTTTTTTTTCTTCATTATTCTGCTGGAAAATCACTTCTCTCACTGCTCTAGTTTTGCAACTTTGAGGCAAAACCCGGTAAATGTTTTTTGGCGGGTGGATGCCTGGGGAAGCCCTGAGATAGCGCCAGTCTTGCCATAAGGACTCGGTGCTACGGATTTGCTCGGCCTCTGCCGCCAGCTTTCCCCGGGGGCAGTGGTACCCGGGGGCGGGGATGGGTGGTCCTCACGGCGTTGGAGAGTGTGGTAGTAACTGTGGTTAACCAAGCTTGCCCTGGTTTGGAGGATAATAGCTGTCTCTGTGTCGGGCTGAGGGATTTGCGGATGTTTAAGCACGGGCCGTATTTTAGTGTTGCTTTATGGCTCCTCGGTTCTGCTCCCGCCGAGCTCCCTTCCCGGCTTGGCTGTAAAGCATTTCCGAGCGGCGAGAGTGACACTTGCGCTGGAAGGCAGCGTTAGGAAAGCCTTAAACACGCTTTGCCGTCGCACCATGGCAGCAAGCAGTTTGTGCTCCCGCATAGGTGGGCCCGCGCTCGAGCCGCTTCCCAAGCCGGTGCGCGCTGCACCCGTCCCGCACCGGCAGCCGCAGG